CTTATCATAGGAATTCTTTCGCACAGTCACAAGCAGAGAAGTTCCACCGTAGGCTGTCTGCAACTTAGAGACTGGTACAGTTTTAGTCTGAGACCTAAAGGAGGTCTGGGGAAGACTCTGATCAGGGAAGCTGGTACAGTTCTAATTTGAAGACTGAACAGCACCCTCCAGGAGCTACTGGTATGAGTCCAGAGTCCAAAGGTTAAAAAACTTGGTGTCTGTCTGGAGGGTTGCCTGGCCAGGAGTTGACAGGAACAAAAGCAGTCAAAGGCCCAGTAGAGGATCAGGGTGGAGACGCAATTCACAGGATCAGAATACACAGCAGCATGCTCTCCAAGAAAGGGTCCAGTAGAGAGAGGGGCAAGGACAGAACTCCCACTTCTTCTGTTTGTTCTTCCCACACATTGAGCTGATTAGATGGTGCCCACCTACAGGGAAGGTCTCCCTGTCTAAGCACAGGAAGACCAATCTTGTCAGGCAACACTCTTACAGATACACTTAGAAACAATGTTTCACAAGCCTTTCAGGCATCCTTCAATCCAGTCAGGTTGACACTCAAAATTACCCCCCTTCCTTTGCGGCCTCAGACTGCTGAGTAACAACCAGCACGGGAGCATAGCTAAGCTATGAGGTTTTCTTAAATTACTACAGTGACAAGATTGAGAGTCTTCTGACCTCTACTAAGAAATGGGGACTGCATCCTATGACAATGGAAAGCTATTGAAGGTTCAACATCATAAAATTTGTTTCTAAATGATCTCTCAGACTACCATATAAGGAACTGATCCAGGAAAGGATGTACAGGGACCAACAGGTGGTGTGGTGGTTAAGGTGCTGAACATTCCCATATGGCCAACCACGGTTTGAGTCCCAAACCTGGTGGCTTGCTTTCTTGCTTTTCCTCTCTCTCTTTCTGTCTCTCTCTGGTCAAATTAAAAGAAATGGAGGAATAAATAAAATTAAAATAATTCATTTTTAAAAAAAGGTGTACAAAGCCCAATCTGGAGACCACTGCAGTAGTAAAACAAGGCAGAAGTGGCTAAGACAAAGGTAGTAGATTTTGTTTCATACACTGGAAGGTCCCCCATAAAACAGTAATAACATCATTTAATGTTGGCAATGTGCGTTTCCGTTTATAAAACAGTTGCGTACTTTATGATTCAGGGAATCTCAGTTCTGTAAACTTTATCTATATGCTACTTCATAAAACCCTAAAGTAAAAAGTTTCAGCAAATTATATAAAGAGTGGGCCAGCAAAAAGCATGGAGGTTAAGGCAGTTAGATCCTACATGGCCAATGTGCAGTTCAAGTCTCAGATCTGGCAGCTTGAATTACACACTGAGGGGATGTGGGTGCATGCCCCAAATCCCCAGATGAGAATGGAGAAGGAAGGATTTGTGGCATGGCCACCCCCCCCACCTCTGTGATTGCTCACTTTCTTTCTCTTAATGGCAAGAACACATTCCACATGGCAAACTAACAAAAAAATACATGAAGGGGTCAGCAGACGGCGTCATGGTTACATTACTGGACCCCCATGTAGTCAACCGTGGTTTGAGTCCTGGTCCCAGTGGCTTAAAACTCATGCCCTGTGCATACGTGACCAAAATCTCAAGAGGAGATGGAGGAGAAGGGATTGTAGCAATGGCCATCCATGATGGGGGGGAGGGAGATGCAATTTTTCCCTTTCTGTCTTTCTGTTTCTGTCTCTGGCAAACACACATACCCTATAGCAAAAATCTCTCAAAAATAAAAACACATGAAGATAAAAATTACAATTTTACAACACTCTGATCCAGGGGCTCCTCACTGACATTATTCTCTAATCCAGGGGCTCCTCAATGACCTTCCTCCAGCCCACCACCACAAGGCTCGAACATGATGCTCCTGCCAACTTTTCCCTCCACTGCCATGCCTTCTCACCCTTCAGACGTCACTCAAGGGTTCTGTTGTATTTGTTCACTGGGATTTCCTCCTTTTCTCCTGCGCATTTATCTGTTTGTTACTACACATGAATTAATGTGATATGTGTCATGCCCTTCACTGTACTGGAGTCTAAGCTATGAGAGAGAAGGGGGTGGTGAGCACAGAGCTGGGTCTAACTTACTTTTTACTCTCTACTGTATTCCCAGCACTTAGGACTATGTCTGACCAAGAGAAGGCATTCAATAACTACTCATGAACCAGATAAATTAATGTATAATTCTTCAAACAAAACATGCCCAAGACATGTAATGACTTCAACTGCCAAGGCTCCATTTACTCCAGTTTAATATCCTTTCTAGCAGGAACCTGGTTGCTAGCAAAAGGTTAACTCCTCAAAGTTTTCATTTTTTTCCCAGAAGTTATTGTTCATTGTTATATGTCCTGTAAGTATGTGCTGGGTACCAACACTATAATTTTACCACAATTACAATAATTTTGAGAGGGGGAAAAAAAAAAGCCACAAAATCCAGGCCACCACTGAGACAATAATCCCTGGAACTGCAGAGAAGAGCAGATACTGCCCAGAGCCACCAGAAGATGCGTCCAGTGCCACTGCTGGCTTGGCATCAGCGAACCAGCTGTTCTCCCGGCAACTCTTAAGCCCTACTCTGACAACAATCCTGATCAGTCAGATGCCTAGAGGCTTAGGGGCATTACAGTTGCCTAACTAATTCCAGATTTGCAGCAAAGCTGTCAGTACCGAGCAATTTATGTTGTTGGTATTTAGAAAACAACCGAAATATGATCACGGTTGGAGCCATTTCACATTGCGTTTCTGTAGCAGGACAAAACCCAGAAAACACCACTTACAACGAAAAAGACACTTTCCCCTCCCCCTTGTCCGTATTGCTATTCGTACTGGAACATCAGGAAACTCAATCAGAAACGACAGGACTGTCTGGGAAAATGTTTAAAAAATAATGTGATGGCCCACAAAGCACATTTCCAGATTCTTCCATTCTCCCATGGCAATGTGCTCAGAAGGTCAAGTTAGGACCCAGGCATTAGAAAGGCCAGCTGACAACATATATATAGTCAGGCAGCCTGGGAACCTCTACAGTCTCAGTCTAAGATCCACAACATCAAGTTGTTTTCTCCCCTCACTTCCAGGCCCAAGTTGTTTTCAATACTGTAAGCAAAACCTTTTAACTATTTTCAGTCTGTGCTTACTAATTATAAGGCCAGCATTGAATGTGCAAATGACATGAAAAGCTCCAAAGACTTTATCTCATTAAAATTTGTGCTTAGTTATACCCCCAGGCAGGCGTTGGAACGCCAATTACCATAAATTTGCAGAGACTTTGGGATGTCGCTGGAGCAAATGCGATGCCAATGGAAAGCTCCTTCTGTGATATGGGGCGTGGGGAGGATTATTCTAATAATAGGACGCTATTAGCTCAGGATAAAAGGCTGAAGGGCTCCATTGACATCCATTAAGAGTTCCTAATTAAAGCCTGAGTAACTGCTATTTAGGGGGAAATGGGAAGGGGGGGCTGAGAACCGGCAGAGAACGGGGTGAACTTTTCACTCAGTGCTTTAGGGGATACACAGAAACTCTCAAATCTGAACTAAGCATATCTTTAGTGAGTTAAGAAAGCTCTTTACTGCATTGATCTTTCTTTTCCTTTAGTTATGGGAGGGTGGAGATAGAGAATAGGGTTTTGTAGGAATCTAAATGGTGGAATTTGTTTTTAAGACCTTCCTCAATCTTACAGGGGCAGTCAGGCCTGCGAGCGGCATTTTCAGCCCAGACCCGCGCAGGAGGCAGACGGTTTCCCCAAGACGCGGCTGGGAGGAAGGAGAAATAACTTAAACCCTATTCCAGGAGTCTTCAGGCCGATGGTGTAGGCTGGGCGAGCTACACACAGACCTCATTTCAATTCCGCTCGTCTCCTGTACTCTCGCTATCGCCTCCCCAGCGTGATGCCAGGCACGTTCAAACACAAGCGACCGAGAATCACTGACCCGGGTACAGCACTGCTCCAGGAAAAGAAACCGCGCGGCGTGCAGAAGCCCAGACACCCCCACTAACCCCGGGCAACCCTAGCGCAGCGGCGGCGGAGGCGGGGAGCAGGGGCCGGGGTCCTGGCAGGCGGAGGGGTGAGGGAGAACTCCCCAGCGTGATGCCAGGCACGTTCAAACACAAGCGACCGAGAATCACTGACCCGGGTACAGCACTGCTCCAGGAAAAGAAACCGCGCGGCGTGCAGAAGCCCAGACACCCCCACTAACCCCGGGCAACCCTAGCGCAGCGGCGGCGGAGGCGGGGAGCAGGGGCCGGGGTCCTGGCAGGCGGAGGGGTGAGGGAGAAGCCGCTCCCGGGGCTCGGCCCTCCCACCTGGCTTCCTGCGGCCCCTGGGACACACACTCCAGGGCCGCGGGTCTCTGCAAGGTCGGTCTGCGTGGTGAGGGTTGGGGGGCGGAGAACCGCAAAACGCACGGCTACAGCCCCTCGGGAAAGAAGGGGAAGCAGCAGCCACTGCCGAGCTCTCCACTTCGCCGCGAGGCTGCGCCGCTCAGGCTCAGTTCCCGAGGGGGCTGCGAACCCGGAAGGCGGCGAGACCCACTGTTGGTTGCGCTCGGCTCCGGGGTTGGCCCAGGGCCGTCTCCTCCCAGGCGGTCATCATGGTGGCAGCGCCGGCTGCTCATTGTCCTCAGGCGGACACAGCAGCCGGGTACGCCCTCCCACGCCCTGCAGTGTGTGGGGGGACGTGAATCCTGGACTTCCAGAACCGCCCCCCACTCCGCGCCATGCTCCCTCCCGGGGGCGGGGCGGGAACCCCGCCGCCCACCCAACTCCTACGCCCGGACTCCCATCTCCACCTACACCGAGCAGGGCCACCCCCTCCGCCCGGCGCCCTCTCCCCATCCCTGGTCGCCGTCGCCCCTCGGCCACCTCTCCCGCAGCGGTCATCCCGCTCCGGATCAGCTTCCCGCGGCCACCCCTCAGGCTTCCTTTAGCCTCCTCCTGGGAAGACCCGCCGCAGCCGTCCCACCTCGGGGCCCACTCCTACCTCGCCGCTCGGCGCCTCTCCCTCCACCCCGGCGCCCACCCGAGCCCGGGATGTGCAGTCCGGCCGGTGGTCTGCAGAGCGCATGCGTGCCGACCTGTTCCCGCGCACCTGTGCGAGCCCCTCGCGGGAAGGGTGCCTTTGCGCACCTGTGGGAGCGCCGCGGTTCGGCCGGCGCCGCGGTCCAGACCGCCTTGGCGGGGCAGCGGGGACCGGGTACTCACCGCGTTCGCGGAGGCAGCGCCAGGAGCCCAGCTCTCCGAGGATCGCGCCGGCTCCTGGTGGGGCGCCTCCCGGCTCCGCACTCCCGCGCCTCGCTCCCCGCCAACCGCCGGCTCCGTCGCCTCCGCCCGTTTAACCCTTTGCAAGACCCGGTACTTCTCGGAGACTGAGGGACTGGGAGGCATCCGGCCAGGCTCTCACTGGCACCGCGGAGTCTGCGCTCACCGCGGCGCCCACGGACAGGGGGCGCTTCCTGCCCGCTAGACCCCGAGCAGCACCCGGTTAATGCGAGGAGCCTGGGTCTTCCCAGCAACCTTACAAGGAACCCAGAAACAGGTGGCCGCCGGCGCTAGGCCAGGCTGGCGCGCTCGGGTCATTAGCCAAGGGCCACTTTTGCATGTTCCCACCACCTACGCACCTCGGTCCCCATAGCCTGCAATCCTGAAATCGTGGAATTCCGTGTTCATACATTCGTGTAAAAGAAGAGATGAGGCACTGTGGACGTGTTTAGTGGTTAAAAAACCTATCGCCTACATCCGTATAGACTGCAGAACAGAAAACAAAACAAAACAAAAAAACCACTAAAGTGAACGAAAACTGGAAAGTTGTTCTAGCGTCTAGAAATGTGACCTTTCACCACCCCTCAGAACCCTGTGACTTACAGCCCTGATGGACAGCAAGCTACCCAAACTATGCGGAGGGAAGGCAGACTTACTTTCTGAGCTAAGCTGCTTTCTGCCAGGTTGAGTTCTAATTAAGACTAGACCCTGATGGCAAATGCTATTTTTTAATGGTTGTGGGGAAAAAATGATGACTAGATTTCTATAAGCACAGAAAACCTCAGCCTTCACTTTTTCTTTCTTCTTTTTTTTTCTATAGAATGGGTGTGCCCAAGACAGAGAGGAAGTAAAAAAAGTACCCCTTCTCAAGGATAAGGCCTCCCCACAATCCCTCCCCCTTTCTCTGGGGATTTGGGGCACACATGCACTCACAAACACACCCGGTGGGACAGGAACCCTGCAGTGGGTCATGTAGAATTCAGCTGACTTAATCAACATGCCACTGGCTGGCTCCCAGCCTTTCCTTAGTTTTTGCTTTTGACAGTCCGTGCCAGTTAAATGTGTAATGAGCCTTCTGATTCCAGTACCAAAGCCAATATCCTCAGAACATCCTTAGAAACCCCAAGCATTTACTTGCCAACTAGAGTACTGCTTACATTCGGACTGGGATCAAAGGGTCAGGAAGCCAGCAAAGTCTTGGGATAACAAACTTGAAGTTGTAAACTGACTGGAACAGGAACCTACTTCTGGGGACAGACAATTCCCATCATGGTTCATTTTTGTTTTATTTAATGTACTCCTAAAATCTTTTGAAATCGAGTGGGATCTTTTTTAGTGTATTTTACCTTTGGGTAGAGAATACGTTTAACACCTATTCTTTCCAAGACTGGAGAAAGCTGACCTACAGCTTCAGCTGTGTTCCCTGTCACCCTGAGGAGGAGTTCAGCCTGCCACCCTCAGTCCTGGGGCTTTTCACAGGGAGTACCGCTCTGCCTTCTCTGTTTTGCAAGCTTCCTAGATCAGGGAATATGTCATAGCTACCTTTTTATCCACTGGATTTTACAATGCTTGGCATATACTAGGTTCTCAATAAATAGTTATTAAATGAATGAAAAAAATAAATGAAATAATTTAATACATCCAGCAAATCTCTCCACCATCTAGTAGATAAGTAGTCCATATAGTTTTCATACCTTAGACAATATACTTCAAAATGAAGCATAGCCTCAATATGGCCAATGAAAATTGCAGAGAAACAGTCCCTGCACTTAGGTAGAAGTTCTTTTTTTTTTTTTTTTTTTTTTTTTCAACATTATGATGAATCTGTGAAGCAAAGACGCATACACTCTCTAAAATAGGATCCCAGGCCAGCCTCATGGCCTAATGGTTAAGGGAATCAGATGGCTGGCCACAGTTCAAATCCAGGTGGTTTGAAAAACATGCCAGGCAGGTGTGCACACACACCCAAGATCTGGACAGGATGGACAAATGGAGAAGGGATGGTGGTGTGACCATACACTATTGGGGATGCCCGCTCTCTCTCTCTCTCCCCCTTTCTCTTTCTCTCTCTGTCTATCTCTGTCATTCTGTGGTGAGTGCCCCCTCTGGCAATTATAAAACATTTGAAAGGATCAGGATTTCTTATATCAGTGTGGATGAATGGGATACACCCATTCACTGGAATTGAAACCTATGTGATCTTTGCCTAATTACTATTCTTTTTGTTTTGTTTTATTTCCCAGTAGAAGTTCTTTGTATTTACAGGGACCTGTAGAGTTCCTGAAATTGAACCTGGGAAATAATAATGTCAAGAAAAAGAAGGACATTAAATATTACTACCTTAAATAATAAGTATCTCAAGAACATTTTAAAATATACTTTACTATTTAAGTATTCTGGAAAAGCCTCATTATGCATGGTAAACTTGAAGAGCATGCAAGTATATACAAAATTGTACCCTAAAAATATAGATGGAGCTTGCTGAATTCTCCAAGGTACAATGGCTTAAAAGTCCTTGAATGCTAGGTCCAGTGACCTGAGTTCAGGCTCAGAAGACTCTGTGCTGGAGTGGTAGAGACAGCTTGATAATTCAATAGACGGGCGTTCGAACACCAGTCTCACCATTTGTAAGTCTTGAGATTTGGAAAAAGATAACTGACCTTTCTCTGTGCTCAAGTTTCCTCTTCAGTAAAATGGAAACATAATTGTACCCTCCCCAGGGGTTTAAATAAGATGACACATGGAATTCTTTAGTTTATCCAATCTTTTGTATTTTCGTTGCTATAGGGTACATGTGCTTGCCAGAGAGAGAGAGGGAGAGAGAAAGTGAGGAATCACCCCTCAGAGGTATGGCCGTGCTGGAGTCCCTTTTCCTCTATTCTCCTCTCGGGATATTGGGCATGTGTGCACATTTGCCTGGAATGGTTTTCAAACTGCCAGGTCTGAGACTTGAACTATGGAGTGGGCCATGTGGGACTCCAGTGCCTTAACCACTGTATCCCCTGCTAGCTCCCAGTGTACCCAATCTTAATCCAAGGAGAGGACAGTTCGTATTTGTCATTTCTGTTTCTGTTATTGCCCGCCTAGGTGATTTTCAGAAAATATTGTTGTAATGGGAACCAGCAGTTAGCGTAATGGCTATGTTGCTGAATTCCCACATAGTCGACCACGGTTCGCGTCCCAGACCCGGTGGCTAAGAACTCACGCCGGGCGCATGTGCGTGCGTGCCCAAGAGAGGAGAATGGAGGAGAAGGGATTGCGGCGAGACCATCCCCCCTCGAGGGGTGATTTCTCGCTTTCTGTCTCTATGTCTCTCTCTGTCTGTCTGGCAAGCGCATGCGCCCTATAGCGAAAAACCTCTCAAAAAAAAATATATATTGTTGTACTTCTTCAGTTCGGTGTGCCCAGTTTCATCTCACACGTGCAGGACTAGGGACACAGTAAAAGCAGGCAGCTGGTAACGCATCACCACACAGTGAGCTCAGGAGAGTTGGTCAGGCCCTGTTACCCTGTCAGGATGCTGGATGTTGCTTTCCTACGTGTGCTAATACCAGACAACACATAATTATCCAAATGCTTTTAATAGCCCATTAAGAATCCATGCATTTCCCCCTCTCCCCAAAGCAATTAAATTCCAATAACTGTCAGGAATGGAGCCAATTGCTATAAAGCACTTCCAGCTTTCTGTCATAAAGAAATAATTAGAATTTGTGTGTTGGTTTTGAAACAAATTCATTGGTTCATTTAAAAATTCTAGGCATATTGTATAAAAGTTCATTCATTTCCACAGAACTCCTTTAAATTAGTCTCACTCTATCTTGGCCACCCCTTCAGCTTTGGCAGATTCTGTGCGCATTTGCATTCTTTAGTAAGCTGCATCTTAGGGACCGTAAAGCTTGTTTCTTTGTGTCTTAGTTTCTCCAGGCATGTTACAGGCCAGTGCCTGAGACCCTCATACTCAGGAGACAGTAAACTCCTAAGCACCCCCAAACTATTGTTGACTATTGGCTATTAATAGCACACAGATATTGACCATGTACTAATCCTTGTTATGACACTCTCAGGTTTGAGGTAATACCTTAGTTCCCCTGACCCGAATATGAGGACAAAGACTTTATTTTAGGGGGCAGTGGTTTGCCATAGAGCTTGGGCACTTGCCAGACAGAGACAGTGAGAAGGAATGGAGAAACCACACCCCCTCAAGGGAAATGGCCATGCCACAATCCTCCTCTACTCTCTCTGGATTTAGGGCATGCATGCACATGCACACAGCATAATTTTCAAGCCACTATCCAGAACTTGAACCATGGTCAGCCATGTGGGCGTCCAGTGGCTTAACCACTACACCATCTGCAGGCCCCTATGGACTTTACTTTTTAATGTTACATCCTTCCGAGGCTCAGCACTGTGATGAAATGAAGTCATGCTCACTAATAGTTGAATAAATGAGTGAAGGATGCCTTTTTAGACAGAATGTCTATCACCTGTCCTTTATGATGTTCTACCATGGCTTGCAGATGTGGGGGTGTGTGCTCTCCTTCAGTAGATGACAGGCTAGTAGGAAGGAATAAATTCTTGTCAAGTGAATAAGCATCATAATCACTAAATGGCCATTGTGCTTATTATCCATGTTAATCTTAGTAAACAATTTTTAGGAAAAGAAATAAAAAGGAAATAAGATCATTATAGTTATTTTAAAATATATTCAAGGTATATATTAATAATGTTAGAGCAAGTGATCTGCATGTAAAAGGATTTGAAATAAACATGAACTATCTCCATATAGTGTACTCAGGGTGACAGCTATTTCTAGTCTGAAGTTGTAAAAACGTCACGTTGAAGAGTTTATTTACCATACCTCTTCAAGATCACACCTTTTACATGAGGTAGAGCAGGAATTTGAATCCAGCCTAGTCCCCAAACCCT